TTGCAATTATATGCAATTTAGCTTTTAAAATACCAAATAAATTTGTAAAAAAATGTATAAAAATTACCCTAGCTATATTTTGGTATAAATATGAGAATAAAGTAAGTTATTAACCAAAATGATAATTTTGATAATAATTATTGGTTTTTGTACTGCTAAAATGGGCAATAAATCAGTTTAAAAATCTTTTAGAAATTAGGAAAATTATTGAAACATTTGGACATACTTACATATGTATATATATGCTATTTTTAAAGTATTTACATGTAAAAATACATAGGAAAAAATTGGGTATCAGCATATGGTTGGATAGCGGGTTCTGCTTCGGGTTTCGCCTATGAAGGGCGTTATGAGATTCATGAAGAAAGGAAAGTTGAGTCCGAGGTTTATTGGTCCTTTTTGAGATATTGCGGCGTGTTGGGGAGGTTACTTATGAGCTTGCCTTACCTCCCAACTTGGCAAGAGTTCATTTGATATTTCATGTTTCGATGCTCCTGAGGTATCACGGTGATTCATCGCACGTATTGGATTTCAGTTCAGTTCAGTTGGACAAGGATCTATCTTATGTTGAGGAGCCAGTGGTTGGACAGGCAGGTTCGAAAGCTGAGGTCAAAGAATATTACATCAGTAAAGGTTCAGTGGCGGGGTCAGCCGGTCGAGGAGGCAACCTAGGAGACCGAGCAGGATATGCGCAACCGTTACCCTCATCTTTTCACTAATTCAGGTATGTCTCTATGCTTGTTCGAGGACGAAGGAAGGTTTAAGTGTAGGAGGATGTAACAACCCGCTCGGTCGTTTTAAAAATTAAGGTCCTGATCCCCTATTAACTGCTTACCCCGTGTTTGTTTCTACTATTTTGATTCGCCGGGATATTTGGTTTTGAGTTTCGGCGTGTTTTGGGACACTTAGTCCCTAAATGAGAGCTTAAGCTTTAGAATTTGGATCGTAGTCATAACCGAATAAAGACGGCCTCGGAATGAAATTCCGTTGGTTCCGTTAGCTCTGTTGGTGATTTCGAGCTTAGGGGCGTGTTCGAATTATGTTTTGAAGGTCCGTAGCTTATTTAGGCTTGAAATACCGAAAGTTGAATTTTTGAAGTTTCCGGTTCGATAGTGAGATTTTGATATCAGGGTCGGAATGGAATTCCGAAAGCTGGAGTAGCTCTGTAGTGTTGAATGTGACGTGCTTGCAAAAATTTAAGTCATTCGGGCGAGGTTTGATAGACTTTTCGATCAAAAGCGTAATTTGAGAGTTTTTGGAGTTCTTAGGCTTAATCCGATGTTAAATTTGTGTTTTGATGTTGTTTTGAGCTTTCCCGAAGATTGGAACAAGTTTGAACGATGATTTAGGATTGATTGGCATGTTTGGTTGAGGTCTCAGGGGCCTCGGGTGTGTTTCGGATGCTCAACGGATCATTTTTGGAACTTGGCCAGTGGGATTTTTGTGCATAGCGTTCGCGATAGTAGTCTCGCATTCGCGAAGAAGAACGCGTCTGGGCAGAACTTAAATTTCAAAAGCGAGGGTTTTGAATTCATATCACAAAATTGAATTGGGAGCTCGGTAGGAGATGAATTTTGGATAGATTTTCGGAGGGAGTTTGCGGGTAATGATTCTTAACTCCTTTTTACTTATAATCCATTAATCTAAATGTAAATTCATCATCTAATTTCATATTTGGGGTGTGAAATTGGGGAAAATTTGGAAAAGTTCATAGACTTAAATTTCGAGTTTTGATTGGGGGTTTGACATTGGATTTAGATAATTTTGGTATGGTTAGACTCGTGAGTGAATGAGGGTTCATAATCCGTAACTTTTACCCGATTCTGAGATGTGAGCCCGGGGGCATTTTGGTCATTTTACCTAATTTTGCGTATTAGCTTAGAATTTATTTGTGGAATCAGTTACTTGAAGTTATATTTACATTATGCAATTGAATTGAATAGATTTGGGCCATTTGGAGTCGAGTACTCGTGGCAAGAACGTGGTCTCAGGTTGATTTTGAGTCGTTTCGAGGTAAGTGGCTTGCCTAACCTTGTGTGGGGGAAACCCCCTTAGGATTTGGTATTATTGATATTTGAAATGTCTTGTACGTGAGGTGACGAGTGCGTACTTGTACCAATTGTTGAAAATTTGATTTCTTTAAGTAAAGTTTAATTGTGTTTCTTTTCATGTTTATACTACTTGCAATTTAAGCCTATTGTTAGCTTAGGGAAGCATGTCTAATTGACTTAATTGCTTTACTTGCTCAAACTGCCTTATTTGGATTATATGCAGCATGCTAGGCTAGAAATACCTGTTTTTACCTTGGTATAGAATTTGAATTGAATTGTGTATTCTTCGTGTTGTTGCTGTGTGTTTACTTTGGGACGGTATCCCGGGAGATCCTCCTGCATGTTTACTTTGGGACTATGGATTGGTATTCTGGTAGATCCCCCTGCACATTTACATTGGAACTACAGGACTGCACCCGGTAGATTCCCCCTGTACTGGATATTTACATTTGAGACTACAGATCGAATTTCCAGTAGATCCCCACGCATTATGAGTTGGACTACGGGACTGCACCCGGGAGATCCACTGGATATTTATATTTTGGGACTACAGGATGGTATCCTGGGAGATCCCCGGTTGTTATCCCTATGTTGAGCTGTACTCCTTTTCCGTGATTAGTTTGTCTCTGTTATAGTTGCTGTTGTTTTTTTCATTCTATGTTATTTCTTACTGTTGCACTTAGTTATACTATCTCATTCTACACTGTTATACCTTATATTTCATTTAATCTTAGTACGGCCCTGACCTTCCTCATCACTACCCGACCGAGGTTAGGCTTGGCACTTACTGAGTACCACTGTGGTGTACTCATGCCCTTTCTGCGCATGTTTTTCGTATGCAGATCCAGGTACTTCCACTCAGTCTTATCACACTTGAGGCGAGGCACTTTCGTAGAGACTTCGAGGTATATTTGCCGCGTCCGCAGACCAAAGAGTTCCTTTCTATTCTCAGTACTAGTATAGCCTTTCTGTATTTTCCTTGTTGATAGATATTTCTGAAGTTAGAGCTTTTTATGTAAACTCTTAGCTGTGATTCATGGGGTTCCAGATTTTGGGAGTGTTAGGTTGAGATTCTTGTACTGTTATATGCCGGGCGGCATCTTAAACATTGTTTCATTTGTTATTTCAGTTTTTAATTATTTTCTTTCCGCAAATTGTTTCTTTTCTGCATTTGTTAGGCTTACCTAGTCGTAGAGACTAGGTGCCGTCACGATAGTTCACAGAGGGTGAACTGGGGTCGTGACAGTCTTCAACTGATCTCTCACGCACCGTCGAGGCAATTATGTCAGAATTCCTCTACCGGTGCGTCGGTTTTACAAACAATGAATCCGGCCACAAGATTCTGGAAATATGTATATCAAAATGATTGATGGTGAGAGTTACTTCGCTAGACCAAAAGGACTCCCCTAAACCAGTCAAGTTCCAGTGAGACCGTTTATTTCTCAGCCAGATTTCAAACTCAACACCAGCTCTGATACCATGTGACAAACAAGGTATGAAAGAATCAAAGTAGTGTCTTATTCCATGAAGTGATACATATATATACATGTACATAGGATCCTAATTATGGAAAGAAGTAAAAGAAAAATCCTAAAAATCTGCTATCAAATCTCAATACTTATTCTATCTATATATAGTACAAGTAATCTGTCTATATTCATTCTTTATGTCTACATTCATTCTTTAACAAAAGGAAACAAAACTAAACATGTCTCGTTGGTATTTTTATTTATTTATGTATCTACGATCTTCAAAAGAATAATGATAGAAATATTCAACAAATAAGTTTGCTAATTTGATACACCGGTTCACTAAGATATTGCTAACGTCAAAACTTGAGAAGTTGGTATATAAATTGGAACATGTCGTCTTAATGAAATTAAGTGATGTTTTTGTCTAAGAAATGTATATATGCATTGCACTCTTTTTCCTTAATTAAGGTGTATTTTTATATATTAAAGTTTTGACCCAGTGAAATTTTCTAGTGAGGTTTATAATGAGACTAGCGGTAATGCAGGTTAATAATTATGTAACAACAACAATAACAACAAATCCAGTGAAATCTCATAAGTGGAGTCTGAGGATGGTAATGTGTATGCAGACTTTAACTTCACCTTATGAAGGTGGAGAGATTGTTTTCAATATACCATCGGCTCAAGAACAGTAAACAATAACCAATTAATAGCAACAACAAGGTAAAAGGCAGCGGAAGCAAATGACAAAATATGTAATAATCAAGATCAAGGAATACGAGAATACAAGACTAGTGTCAACTACTGATTATAGTGATGCACCGTATAATAATAAGGAACTAGGAGTAAAAAAATAAAAGAGTAATACTAATACTACTGGTAGGACAAGAAGCGTGTTAGTAATGGCTTATATTTTTTTTCCCTCAGGCTCCACAAGATTTTTTTCTTTCTTCACAAAAACCGTCATTGTGGATATCCAAAAGGAAAGTTCTAAGAAAGAAGTACTATTATTTGTGAAAGTCCTTAAATTCTAAAGAAAAACTCCTAATTCCTATCTCTTCGTATTCATAATTGCTAATAACTCTTCTTTTTCTATTTGGCATTCTGCTATGTAATCTTATAAATAGAAGTATTAGAAGTCATGTTTGACACACTTGAAAAGCAAAAAGAGAAATTCTATCTATTCTCTCAAAATTCTTATGATTTCTTCCTATATTATTCTTCTAGTTAATTTTATAAAAGGAGTAAATGTATTATTAATCTGCTAGTATAGACTCTATTAGCTTTTGCAGACATGAACAAGATAAACACATAAAAGCTAGTACTAGTTTATAAAAGGACCCCTTAATTTAAATTATTGCATATAGTAGAGCAAAACACCAAGCATAGCAATAAAGCAAAAAAAAAAAAAAAAAAAAAAAAAAAAAAAAAAAAAAAAAAAAAAAAACACAGACCGAATAAAAGTATAAAACACACAAAAACAAGAAGAATTACATTTTTAAGGGAAACAAAACTTTATTAGCAATAAATTTCTTGTTTCTTCTTAAGAAGAATTGTCTTGAATGAACTTGTTGATAGTGAGCATCAACTTCTTGGAAGGGTCTGAATTGGGATAAATAGTGAAAAAACCATGTTGTTGTCCTTCAAACTCCACATATTCAATCTTCTTTCCCCATTCCTTCAATCTCTTTGCATAGTCTTCAGCTCTGTCTTTAAGAAGATCACATCCTCCAACAATCACAAGAATTGGGTCAAGATCAATCTTTTCCAAGTCTGGACTGTTGGGCCCAAATGGGTTCACAAGTGGATGGTCAGTTGTTTCCCCTATTGGTATTGATAGTCTCCAAAACCTGTAAATGAGGAAAGCAGCACTGAAATATACACCGAGTATAAAACATTTAGAGAAATGTATATTTGCAGTCGTTCCCAAAAATAATAGCCGATAAAATATAAGTATATTTTATATATATATATATATGTGTATTATATACATATTTTATATACTTTTAGCAAGCGAATGCAATTAGTTTCGACCGACCGGCCAATTTTATATTTTGCCCAAACATTTAGATTGAGAAATTTTGGGTGGGCTAGCATAGAGGACTGTTTAAAAATTGTGTCATTGAACTTACCAATTGTTTACATGTAACATATTTTGATGAATTAGATGACCAAGTCATTTACAATTTAGGCCATAGTTTTTGGTGGCAATTAATAGAAAATTTTGGTTATATCTAAAATGATGTTGTATTTAGGCTAAGTTTTTTATTTTTATTTTGGAATTCACGTAAGCTAGAGTTCTAAGAAAAAAATATTCCTTAAACAAAGTACTAGTTCAGCGAAATCTCAAGAAAAAAGGTAAAATTTTAAAGAAAAATCATATGAAAAGGCTGATTAGAATCTCCTAAGAATCGTAATTTGCAAATGAGAATTTAGAACTAATGCCTAAACCATTTCAATTTGGATTTTTAGCAAAAACAAAAGAAGATATGTGATTATGGAACTCAATGTAACAAAAAGTTTTTTTAAAAAGAAGTTAGAATTCTTGAGAACCTGTCAATGAGCTCAATGTTTAAGAAAGCTTCTTTAGGTCCCTCAGCTTCAAATTTTGTCCTTGTAGTCCCTCCAAAGAAAGGAAGCAAATATACATAACCCCTAACTCGAACCGGAGCCAGCTCGGCTGATCCAGCTTTAAGCCGAACCGCCAAATTATGCGCGATGTTACCACCGGCTGAATCACCTGAAATAAACACTCGGCTAAAGTCAGCAACATCTGTAAGCCACGTGTCCGGCTCATTAGACACGGCTTGATCTTGGAGCCATTTAATAGCCATGTAACCATCTTCAATGGCAGTTGGGAGCCGGTTCTCAGGAGCCAACCGATAGTCGGGGGAGATAATCACGGCTTGGAGCTCAGAAGCAAGCTTGAAACAATAGTTTTGACAATTTGGCCATGTCCGTGAGCCGATGCAAAAGCCGCCACCGTGAATGTAGTAGAAGATGGGCAGCTTATTAGCCGAAGTGGGAAAAGTCGGCTTATAGAGCCGGAGTTGAAGGTTATGCATGGCGTCAAATACAACATCTATCCAAAGAACTGAACCATCATCTTGTATAGGTACTTCAAAACTTGGCTTACTTGATCTTACTATAGTTCCATCACTATACACCCTAAGAACACCTCTACACTCTTCCACCTCATGTGGCTGAACTGCACTACTACTGTCCTCCATCGCTCTCAATATGTGTTCTTGCTAGTGTTTGTGTGTGTGTTTTAAGATAGAGGCGAAGGGGAGAAAACATAGGAAGAGTTAATAAGGGGTGGTTTGTTTGTATTTTGTGTGTTCTATTTGGTGATGATAAGAAGGACAAAGTATTTTTCAAGTACTATATTACAAAGTTTGTATTTGTTTGTCACATAGTGTTATCACACACGGATTAGGTTTGGCACAGAATAAAATGATGATGGAAGAAATAAATTTATGTGCCGGCAAATGCTATTTGACAAGGCTCAATAATCAACGCTAGATTGGTGGGATGTAACTATCCTTAATCAACGCATATTTTGTAATTGGAAGCCTATGGAGTTCTCTTGAGATTTGTCTAAATTTCGTACTGTAAAATTATGATCTGAGCTTCTCATTTGCCCATATTTTGAACCTTTTCACAATAATCAATACCTTGTATATCTCATCTGGAGAAAGAGTCACTTCTTCTCGTGAATATCTTACATGGAATGGCATAATAAATAGAAAAACAACCACCTCTTTTCTGTTGTTGCAATTAAAATAAGCTCTTATATTATTGCTCTAACATTTAATTTGATGTTTCCATAGTTCTGATGTGGGATTAAATTTATACTCCTGGTACGCGGGATAAAGTGGGATAAGATGTGCGATTAAATTATACCATGTTTGGTTGACGGTATATATTAAATCCTGAGATAAATTTATGCAGTCAACTAAACATGGTCTAAATTTAATCTCAGTCTCAATAAAGAATATCACACCTTATTATATTATCCCACCTCCTAGGCAGGATAAATTAGTCTAAGGATTATAATACCGAGATAATTTAGTCCTCGTACCAAAGACCCCTTTGCTAACCAGATGTACAGTTTTTCCAGCATAAATACCACTAAAGCATTAAAAAAGGAAAAAGGAAAGAAAAGAAAGAAGACTTGCCCATTCAGAATGCAGTTAAGCAAAAAAATGTACTCTTCGGTGCTGACTTCTCATTATTTCCACATTTCACAGTTCATCCTCATTCTACATTTCACAATACGTGGATGCCAGTTTCATCCAGCATACTGAAAGGAAGGATTTCTGGAATGCAGTAGGTCCAGGAAAAGAGTTTTCAAAATGACCCATCTTTCAAAAAATTGCAGAAATATGATACTTTTTGGGGGTGATCTTAACGTTTGACCTCCGCTTGTCCTATTGCCAGAACTTCAAGGTCAAAAGTTAAAAGTGTTGCCCATAGAGCAAATGAGGGGTAACACTTGTTAAATTCAAGATCATCCACTTTCAGGGCTATTTGTGTAGTTGCCCCTAGCTTTGGTATTTTAAGTCCACACATTCGATTGTTATATTCACAATTAAGCTACATAGCTATACAGAATAAACCATTGTAAAGCTGTAGGGTGAAAGATGGAAAACTCATTTGAAATAGGAGCATAATATCATCAAGATATGCATTTTCTTAGTTCCCATTTTCTCATTAGAAAGTTTTCTTGATGTTGAAGCCTTGAAGGTTTAAAGATTTTAAGGATAAGGACTTGGGGCTTACCAGTGCACAAAGCAATCCCCGGCTAAAGCAAGCGTAGGGGAAGAGCGATACATTTTGATAAGATGTGAAAACAAAATATTTAAACAAATAGAATAGACTCATATTTGTGCTTTAAATTTTCAGGTATTGGTGAATTAGCCTCAGAATACACGTCAATAACCACAGGAGAAAAGAGCGCGAGTAGTATAGGTCACAACCGTTTTGAGTATCCAGAACCAGCACATTTCTTGCAGAATACTAATCCTGCAAAAAGAGGCACCCAACAAAAAGAGATTCTTTTAGCTTCAGAGCGCAGTAACATAGTATATTACACGATGGATGCAATCATACTCGAGACCAGATATTAGTGAAAGATCACTTGAATTATGTATCATTCATCTATCTAGACGCAAATCAGAGTTATCCCCGTTACATGTTATAAGCATTCCATATTAACTGATTACTTGAAGTTGGTTGGGAAATGAAATTGCAGCTGAGAGGTACCTGCACCCTTGCAAACTTTGCAGTCAACTAATCCTTTTTCGGTTGTCATCTTACCATCATTGCAAAAGACACACTTCGTACCACCTATGCATCAAAATGAATTAATTACATGAATCTTCTTTCCCTTTAGAAGCAAAAGGATTGCCATCAGCAACACAGTGCATTTTGTAAAAAGAACATGTGTGCATGACTTTATGCTTGAGTTAGAACCCTTTTGTTAAGCCAGATAGCTTGATTCACCTGTGATTGGTAAAAGCTGAAACAGAATTGGCTGAACCAACAAGATGTGCAAACGTTTCTCTCGCTACCCTCTTCCTCCACAAGAGAGAGAGAGAGAGAGAGAGAGAGGTGTTGTCGAGGATCATGACATATCTTGATTTGAGCTATTCATACTATGTGACCGGGAAGTGGGGGGACTATTTGTATTAGTAAATATTAGACTCGCTAAACTGTTTAACCCAAAAAATAGTTTTCAAGGTCAAAACAATAATTTTATATGACGGGCCACAAGCAACCGATTCAATCCGAAAGATATAAAATTTCGTTAATACAACGTGATAGAGAAGTGAGAAATAAATTCAATGACAAATAATATAATAAAAATAAAGCAGTGAAGAAAGAATTCTTATTGAATGATCCTTGATAGGATAATAAGCCGAACAGAGCTTGAATGGCCGAATTATGGCTAACTTGAGAGCAATATGCTATAAATTACAATGTATAGAATTGTAGAGAAGAAAATTAGATTCCCCTGATGGTGGTAAAAGTATGTCTATTTATAGGGCTAAATCTAAGTAACTAGTCTCCTTGAATTATGGGTCCATTATGAGCATTTACTCAATCCATCCATTACTTTTGGAAGACTTGTAACAGCTGTGTAAATGCTGGAATTCCGTAACTGATGAGTTAATTCCATAACTGATGAGTTAATTCCATAATTAATGAGTCAATCTCGTGCCTGTTGAGTCAATCCCGTGCCTGTTGAGTCAATCTTGTAATTGATTGCCTTGTTCTGACCGTTACAATCATTTATTGCATTTATTAATAATTGATTTGTAACTGATGGTGTAATGATGGTAAATCCCATATAATCCGGGATTAATTTATTCCTTCCTCATTTGTAATTATGAGATATTCTCCCGCGCCTGAACTGGGCTATTTCATGATGATCAGTTCCGGGGCTAATAGACATGGTATGAGTATGTTCGGTCCCAGGGGTGTTTCACATTTCATCTTTACATGTCATTCTTCACTTTTCTTCAAACTTTATTGACACGTGTCGCCATTTAATAGACCCACATGGCGAGTCTAATTTTTACTAATACAAATAGTCCCCCCACTTTTCGGTTACAAATTAATTATTAATAAATGCAATAAATGATTGTAACAATCAGAACAAGGCAATCAATTACGAGATTGACTCAACAGGCACGAGATTGACTCAACAGTTATGGAATTAACTCATAAATTATGGAATTAACTCATCAGTTACGAAATTCCAGCATTTACACAGCTGTTACAAGTCTTCCAAAAGTAATGGATGGATTAAGTAAATGCTCATAATGGACCCATAATTCAAGGAGACTAGTTACTTAGATTTAGCCCTATAAATAGACATACTTTTACTACCATCAGAGTAATCTAATTTTCTTCTCTACAATTCTATACATTGTAATTAATAGCACATTGCTCTCAAGTTAGCCATAATTCGGCCCTTCAAGCTCTGTTCGGCTCATTATCCTATCAAGGATCATTCAATAAGAATTCTTTCTTCTCTGCTTTATTTTTATTATATTATCTGTCATTGAATTTTTTTCCACTTCTCTATCACGTTGTATTAACACAATTTTATATCTTTCGGATTGAATCGGTTGCTTGTGGCCCGTCATATAAAATTATTGCTTTGACCTTGAAAACCATTTTTTGGGTTAAACAAGAGGGACGTAAAGTATTCTCTTCTACTAGCTCACAGAGTTGTTGGCATATTCCTCTTTCTGTCCATTAATATAAGCTATAAGACTATGGAAGAAATGAAGAGTGTACAAGAAGAACTAGCCTTCTGTTTCCTTCTTTTCAAGTCTTAATCTATTTGTATTTGTTTAAGTGCAGGGTCATCGCAGTTCTCCAGCTAAAGCACACGTAATAACATCCTAAAATAGAAGCAATATACAAATCCATCATAGATTAAGTGCATACCACCTTCTAGGCCTGTGTTTCCCAGGCATGCGTGGCTAATCGAAGCATACCCTTCCACTTGATTATGAAGATAAAGAAATTACCAAATACCAATATGCTTGTTTACAACTAACAACAACAACAACAACCCAATGAGTTCCCACGAGTGGTAGGGTAAGATGTACGCAGTTTACCCCTACCTTGGAAGGGCAGAGAGGCTGTTTCCGATAGACCTTAGCTGTTTACAATTATCTATCAAAATTCTGGAAAGATGGTTGTCTGCCAAGACCTAACATAGCATATAAGAACACCTTATAACTAGTTATTGATGCAGCATTTAAATGGCTAATGGAGGAAGCTGTAGCTTATGGAACAATCCTGTAAAGCTTTACCATAACAATCAGTTGTCATTTATCTAGTTTCGATCGTGATCACTACTCTTACATGACTTACAATACCATACAATTACTTAAATTGCTTTTATTTGGTAACTAATATTGGTCATGAATTGAGGCATCTTACAACTTTGGATCCCTTACACAGTTGGACTTGGCTTGTACAGATAGTTTCCTCTTAACTCAATTACATCATTCTACATGAGGAATTATATATATAACATCGTTTATAGTTCCAGTAAATAACAGAACTACTAAAGTAAAATGGTATAATAATAGCTTCTTTGAGTTTCATTACTTCATCAAATCCTAATATATTCCCATTACTGTTGGTGTTTGAAGTGTCAAGGCTGAAGTTAGAATTCTGTGTTAGAGATTTAAAGAAATCATTATTCTTGGTAAGTGATAGCCATGCATTAGCAGAATTAATTAAAAACTAAAAGTAGATTAAAAAAAGGGATAAAATTGCCATGTGCATAAGTTAAAAGGCTCACCATTCCCAGCACACCTATCACAAGGAACTGGATCTCCCTGCAAATATTAATAAAAACCCAACTTTAAAAAAAACCTAAGATACCTTGATAAAGTGATCAAAAGGAGAACTTTATTACCTCCACAAGAAAAGAGATGCAATAAAAAGGAAACTTTATGAAACCCACTGAAAGAAAACAGAGAAAAAATTGTATACCTTGAGGCCAAGAAAGAGGGAGAGAGCAATGGCAGCTAAAACGCTGAAAGTGGCAAGAAATGTTTGGGTATCCAAAGGGGGTGAGTCAACACCAACGAAGAGCAAAATGGGGTGATGATGCTTTATTGTGGATGGGAATAGTTGCTGAATTTGGGAACAACATGATGACAATACTGGGATTTCAAGATTTGTTGAGAACTGAGTTATTGGGAAAGAAAATGAAGAAGGACAGCAACTGAAAGGGCATAGAGATGAACGAATTGTTGAAGAAAAACAAGAAGAGGAGAGAGAATGGAGGGGATAGAGTGAGGAGTGAGAGAGTGTTGTTGCCATTGCAAGTAAATTTGTGGAGCTCAGAGTTCGGTTTATGCTCACTTGTCTCACTCTTGTTTTTCTTTTCTTTTTAAAATTTTCTTTTATCTTCAGTTTTGTCATTTTTAAGGAGTACTCTATATTATTTGTTTCCTCGAGTATTAACAAGTTTTTGGAAGAAAATACATCACTATGGACTTTCTAAAAGGAACTAAGTATTTGAGGATTTTGCATTAACTTATCCAATTTTAAACTCTACCTGGAATTTTCAAAAAAGAGAAGGGGAAGTAGGTGAAAGCTTGATGAATAGAGCTAAAGGCATTTAAAAGAATAGATAATGAGAATCCAATAAAAGAACTGAATTAGTTTTTTTCTTTCAATTTTCTATTAATTGGTATTTACGGAGTAGGAGGGTAGATACTTACCCACACCGGGTATTTACACCAAACTATATTAACTCACCATGGTTAATTAATTTAATTAGATGAGAATGCATATAATTTACCATGATTAAATGATTGAAATCCATATACAAAACACATATCATGTATCTATTGGTTTGGTGTAAATACCCGGTGGGGTAAGCTTTTACTGAGTAGGAGAGGAAAGAACTTAAATGAAACCACATGATAGTGAATATAGCCTACCTCAACTTAATTGAAATATAATTGATATTAGGGCACTCACTAATACCACTAGACTATAAGCTAAACGACTAAATAATTCCATTTTCTTTTTTTCTTTTCTTTGAGAAAGGAGA